GCGATCAATCTTCCTCTAATGTCTGTGTCCAAGCCCCATTCGAATCGCCTAACCTTATCTTCTTCATTTGCTACTATGGCTGAAGCATACCGTGAAAGGGCTTCAAAACGGTTCGCATATTGAGCGACTGACATTTTTCCTTGTTTCAGTTTGAGGAACTCTTGAATTATTTCTTGTCTTAGCGAGTTAGGAAAATACTTTTCCATGAACAAGCCTTCGAACTGTCTCTAAGTTAATGTCTCTACTTGTCGAGTACTTTTGATCATTTTCCTCCAATGATCTGCTTCCCCTTCCATTTGAAATGCCGTCATGGTCACTCTATCTTGTTCATTTCGGATGTCGGAAGTATCTAGCAACTTCTTAATTTGTCTTAACCAAGCTTTAGTTTCATGGGGGTTTGATCCACCAAGGAATTTGTGGGGACGTAGCTTTTCAAACTTTGCTATCATCTCCGATTTGTTTTGATCTTGGTTGCGGGGTGGTATATTGCCTACCCTATCAGCAATCGCGCGTATAATTCGAGCGACATCGCCATCAGGCACTCCATCGCCATTACCGTTGTTATTATTTCTTGTTCGTCCAGCCATTCTGCATGACGGGATTTTCTTGTGATTTATTCACTTATTTATTATCAGTATTATTATTATACTTATGTGCAAGGACAGTAAAAAAAAAAGAGACTTCATTAATTAGATTAGATAAGCTACAATTAGCAAAATACAAATAGAACAAAGGAAAAGATTAAATAACATACTATGGGCAAGAGATAGCCCCTACAATCCGAGTTAACTCCTACACTCACAATTCTAAACTAGGCAATTTCTTTTACATGTGAGCATACAAAACAATCAGTTAGCCTAGTTTATAGTTCCCTTAAGACCCCTTAAAATAGCCAAGGAAAGTCTCTCCACACCAGGGCTTCCGGCTCCCATGTGGCTTGGAAAAGTCCCATGAATCGCCATAGCACCCTTACGAAGATAGCAGTTTCGCACACACGATGCCCTAGCAGCAGCACCGGCTCCTCCCGATAGGTCCTCCAGTCTCTGAAGTTCACTGACCCATCTTTCCTCACAATTCTGCTTGGGTCGGGCATGATATACTGAAGGCTCCAAAAGTCAAAAAGGTCACCCACTCTTTCGATGAAACCGTCCGGAAAGGGGCCTAGTTGATATACCCAGGGAGTCTCTTGTCTTAGAATCTGGATAGGTCCGATATAGGTGCCCACCCAACTCTCATTTTTCCAAGCACAACCTCCGAGGGGATAAAGTCTGACATATACAAAAGAGCCAATCTGCAACCCGTTTTGCACATCCCAACCCTCAAACGTGGCTCCTATATCTCCAGGGTTCCCCTCGGTATTGCCTTCCATAGACTCATCCTCAGTGTCTGACTCAATCACAATAACCTCCGGGGGGTTGTATATTGGTACAACTTCTTCAGACTCAGGTTCAGGCTCAAGTTCAGGATCAGGTTCAGGGTCAAGCTCAGGCTCATATTCATAGTCTTCTATAGGCATTTCCACTTCTTCACTTGGGTCGGATTCTATGGATTCACAGTCTTCTATAGGCATCTCCACTTCTTCACTTGGGTCCGATTCTATGTCATAGTTTTCCACCGAATTTTCCTCGTTAGAGTTAATGTCTGATGACCCTGGCATCCTACAAATAAAAAGGTTCTAACTTAGTTAGGTCACCGAGAATTACAAATTAACTTAAGGTTTTCTTAATTGTAAAAATAATAAACTACTACCCATGGCCCAAAGGTTCAAACCTAGGCTTTGATACCAAGCTGTGACGCCCCAAATTTTTTTTTGAAACGTCATAAGATTTAAATAACAATAACTTGCTAGATAAAATTTTAAATACTAGTTAGGAACTTTTAAGTTCTTACAAAGCCAAAGTCCAACGACAAAATAAAACTACAAGTTCACACACAACGTCACAACATAGTTTAATCCTAATACAAGGGATAACAGGATTTTATTCTGACAAAATCTTGACTCTAAGTCAGCCAAGGTTCGACATTGGCAGCAGCTCCAATTTCAGCCTCAGTCCCTTCTTCAACATAATCTGGCATGAAACGCCAGGGCAACAAAATATATGCCATGAGTTTTGCAACACAGTAAGAAAACGTAACCAACTTACCATTCTTTTTAAGAGACAAATAATAATATTCTAAACATGAGATAACAATATAATTATACACAGAAATTACAACCATTAGAATAGTTTCAGTAATTTTAATAAATTAGGTGACACTCGAAATCTCACCAAAGAGATTTAACTTACCAACCACTAAGCATGGCAACGGTTAATTTGAAACCCTCCCTTGGTCAAATATTTAAGTGTTACCAACCGTAACTACCAGGGATGCCCACGTCCGGAGTTATATACCCAAGTAGTGGCATCCGTGGTCTACCCCAAGGAAACGGTCTTCCAGGGGTAAGTAACCTCCCTGTGTGCCACCTGCACATCCA